ATTTGGCATCTCTTACATTGTTCCAAAAATAAACAGAATTCAGAAAGCCACTATTTAAAAAAAACAAAAAAAAAATAAAAGACCTAAAACCTGTTCATTAGACAATGAAGATGATTTATGATATGTTGACATGGTTTTAATAACGTTAAGTAAGGAAGAATAACTGACAACACAAAACAATAACATATAATCGAGGAACACTACTACTGATACTGAAAACAGAAAAAACAATAGAAAAAATCGAAAATTGATTTATAAAAATAAAGACGGTAAACAATACAACGAAAAGCCGACCAATGTATAAACCAAACCATAATTGAGCTTAAGATCATATATATTATAAGCAAAGTAAAATTTTGAGTTAAAGCTCTCTCATTCAATTTCAGGGTGGCTAATTACCCTTTACCCTTCCTTATATTTCTAGAGTACTTAAGCTAGTATTTCCCACATCACATGTATATTTTTTTTCCAGATAATCTCGCTCAACAGATAATCCGATTGAAATTATCTTAATATTATCAAAATAACTAAAAGTGGCAACAAAATTGTTATACAAACTACAAAAGTAAATTAATTGATTAAGGATATTTAAAAAGATTTTATTAACGAATAAAGGGTAATTAGTTACCTAGATTGAATGAGAGACCTTATAGCGAAAAATTTACTTCGCATATATTATATATGATATGATTTTAAATGTTTTTTTATTAAATTCCAATTTTGAATTTTCGTTATTTTCTATTTAAAATATTTTTGATTAAATTTCGAATTTTGATAATTTTTATTAAATTTAAATGTTTTTTGATTAAATTTCAATTTTTAACAATTTTTTTATCAATTCACGATTTTTAATATTTTTATTCAATTTACGATTTTTATTTAATTTACGATTTTTAATATTTTTTAATTAATTTACGATTTTTAATAATTTTATTAAATTTAATTTTAAAAAATATAAGGAGGGGTAAAGGGTAATTAGCCACCCTAAAATTGAATGAGAGAGCTTTAACTAAAAATTTTACTTTGCTTATAATATATATTTATATATATGATGATTATGATTATTTGTTATTCTGTTAGAATTACTTAAACTGAACATGAATTTTGACATTTTTTTTGTTCCCATCGAATATTTACTCTCCTAAAATCCATATTTCTTTTCATATTACTTTCAAAAATATTTCCTATATTCAAGTGACTTTAGAAAGATTCCTTTTTAAACCCTAAAGTATATACTTAGCCTTCGCAAAGAAACTTTGAAGTTTGGGACAAACACAAGATGATGCATAAAAGAAAAAAAAAAGTCAGATCCCATCCCGATTGATATCATTCTCGAGATACTCTCGAGATCATCGGCTAACTCAGTCGCTAAGTTTTGCCTCGCGTCCAAGTTCTGTACGTCTATACTTCTTAGTCGTCCAGATTGTTAGACATTTCAGACATTACTCACACACTCACCAAAGACACGAAGAGAAAGGATTTAGACACTGAAAGAGACAAACTTTTTTAAAATGCGAACTTTGTATTCCTTTCACTTGTTCTTTACATCGTGTTTCATGTCTATATATACAGGATTATACTTGAAACCCTAGTTCTGGATCCTTCTACACCGTGTGATCTTCGTCCTTTCACACGCTTGGGACTGGAGTAGAGTAGGTGTTCGTCATTCTCCAACTTTGTCTTTTTGTATCAACAGCTTCAACTCTGCAATTGTGTGCTCTGCTTTTCGTACAAGTATCACGTGGTACTGTTCCTTGGGCTTCACTTGGGCTTGATACTTCTTCCTCTTCTTGTAGTGGGCCTTCATTATTTTGTAAGCCCATTTCTTCTACTCTGTTCTGTATACTTTCATCCCCCCTCAAACTCGAGTGTGGTGGAAGACAAACTCCGAG